GTTTCACCCATGGACAGGTGAGCAGAGGGAGGGTTTCCAGCATAAGACTTAGTTTAATTTGCTATCCTCATTGGGGTATAAGCCAATATTCCCCCTTTCAGTACACTGACAGTAAAAGAGTGCAAGCATGGACACTGAAGTTCCAATATCACCTCAGCAGGATTATACAACAGGTAAAGGCTATTTAAAAAGTGTGTCTGGCCACAGAGCTGTTGTGTATTGTGTCTAACACTGAATCAAGCCATTTGTATTTCCCATGTCTTCCACCTGAGTGGGAGTTTCTCACACAGCAATCTGCAGTGCTCTGCATGGGCAGTGACTCATCCCTCTGAATCCATTGGGGTGCCTTGGCAGGGAAATGAAGCTGCAGTAATGGTGAGCTCTTCTGACCAGCTCAGCAAGCCCAAACATTATTACTTTTTACAGTGCTCTTCAGCCAATTTATGGCCATTTCACAGCACATCTTGAAACGAGGGTCACTCTTCCTCAGCACAGAATGAAGGTAAAATACAACTGCAGAGGATTAGGGGGTCAACTTGCATGATCAGGATCCATATTTGCACCTGGGTCAAGGAGAGGCATGTCTCCAAGTCACTAGGGCCTGGGAACAGCAAGGCTCATATTTCCTAGCTCAGAAAGATAACAATAATCAGTAACATGGGCTTTGCAAAGCTGCAGTGTGTCCCCCTGCAGCAGGACTGAACTTGTAAGTTTGAAGGCAATAACATTTGGAGGCAGCAAGTTGTTGGATCCAGTATATTCCCCCTGCTAAATTCTGAAGTTGAAAGGAGTGACTACATTGAAATCTCCTTAATGAAAAGCTAAAAGCTCATAATATGACCTGCTGAGGAAGTATTGGTCACGTTGGTTTTCACAGGCAAGATGGAACTTTAATTTTTAGTGAAATGTCTAACAAACATTAGAACAAAACTCTAAGAAGCAACAGAATATCCACTTGCATGTGTGAACGTTGGTATCTGAGGAACTGACAGGTTTGGATGGGTTGCCCCATGGTAGCAACAGCCTTTCCAAATGGGGGAGAAGTGTTTTTGGAAGCCAATCTTTGGATTAATAATCTGCTGTTTTATGCAGTCTCGTTTCACTTCTTGATTTGTCTTCGTGCCTCAGCTTCATGTGACTTCTCAATATCTTGTCCATCTTGGAGTTTGGTCATGACTGATGGTTTGGAAGGTTTCATAGACAGAATTCCATCTCTGCTTTAATAAAACCCTGAGTTTGACAGAAAAATATTCACTAAGTCTCAAAGACAACATAATCCTGGGGCTTTTATTTCATTTTGTTGATTGATCAGAAAATTGGTGCTCCTCGCAAAATTTGTCCCTATTTGCAACTTCAGTGGTTGTAAGGGTCTGGTTTAGAATTTTGCATGCCTGTTTGAAAGCATAATGAAGTCTATAATTATCTATTTTCTTCCAGGCAGTTCTCAAGTGCTAATGAATTCTCACTATTATTTTCCTTAGAAATATAGGACAAAATCATTCTGCTATCTTAGAAAATACCTTAATTTTTCCTCACATAAGCACAAGATATAATACTCAAGGTAATTTATTTCTGTGGAAAAAATCATATGCTGGGAAATTAATTTAATAAGCTAAACAATTAATCACTACCACAGCCCCACCAATGTTCTTTTCCAGCTTGTAATTAATATAATACTGAACAGTTTTCTATTTGTTCATGGAAGAAGACCTGCAGGCCTCACTATTTGCAGCCAGTGGCAGCCCTGCCCTTCAAGTGATCATCTCAACACAACCAGTGGGAATGTGCTTTCTGGTCTCTTCATCTCCTTGCTGTGCATTACACTGAGCAGCACTTGCTGTTCCACTCCCTGGGAGTTTGATTCCCACAACTTTCTGGTCAGGTACTGAAATCCTCAGATCAAATCAAAGATGGTGCAGGCAAATATAAGATATCTAAAGGAAAAAATGATGATAGTTTATTTTCTTCTTTAAGAGAAAGCATAAAGTTACTTAATGTAGAAAATATTCCTATGATTTGATGTTATGTTGCATATAGAATGATTGCAATTCTGACAAAAAATAAGATCAAACAAACCCTACATAAAAGCACCACTTAGGTTAAATGTCTGTCCAATAGGAGCGAGAAGAAATCAGTTTGCATTTGGGAAAGAAAGGATTCATGAGGATTCATCTGATGGTTATTTCAACAACATCATGAACTGTCCCAGTGTTAAATTTCAGATGTTTTTCCAGCAAAGCATGGAAAGTGTTCCTTAGTTAAACAGCAGATTTTTTTTCTTTCTTCATTTAATAACAAATAAATTAGGAGGAAGCTTTTGTTTTCCATCAGCTTGACAATTATATCACTGTTTTGCTGGAAATAAGAGCAGTTGGCATTTTCTTCATGCCAACATATGCGTGTGCGAGTTGAATTGTCTCTGAACTACAAGCAATAACAAGACACTCCTTGTGCCAGGAAGCAATTAATGATTGCTCTGCAGCCAGGTTATTCTCATGGGTGAAAGTCCCTGTCATAGAGTCATGTGGCAGCTGCAGCTTCTGTACAATGGAAAACTGTCCCTGGAGTAACTGCTTAGCCCCTTTAAGGAGAAGAGACCTGGCCTCTTCAAAATAAACCACCCAATTTTATTAAAAAGAACCATCTCTCTAACCGTATGGAAAGAAAACATCAAAATAAAGGGTGCAACCAGAAGACTTTAAATGGATTACTTGATTTTCCTAATGTTCAAAGGGATTTGAGGGCTAAAACAACTTACCACTCTCACACAAATTACTTTTTTTGGCAGCTTTCTCTGTCTATTAGAGACTCCAAAATCTGCTGTGAATTTGGATTTACAAGATTGGCATAAAGCTTTTCCTAGAAGAGCAAAACCTCTTGAGGTACCAGAGAAAACCCCGCAAACGCTCCCCGTGACATGGCAGGAACCTCCAAGCCCCACAGAAGCACCGCACCCTCAGAGCAGCAAGCAGAGCAAAGGGCCAGTGGAAGCTTTAAAAAACACTTCTGTTTTCACTAACAGAGTATCAAACTGTCCAAATAACTGTGAGGATGAAAGCCTTTTTTTTTTTTTTTTTTTCCAAAGCCTGGTAGAAAGAATTCCCCCAAAACTGCACCCAAATGTACAACCACCATCTCCTACCTCCTTAGCAATGTCACTTGAGTTACATAAACATGCCATGCACACTGAATTTCACATCACTGGTGCCACTTGAAGCATGCCATAACATTTTCCAGCCAAATATATACACAATTCCAACTAATATGCATATACATATAACTCCAGTACGGAGTTAATGAGATGCAATTATTCACAGCTGATAAGACTCTTGTTCTAAAACCCTCTACATGAAAGCAAGAAAAATTTGAGTTGCAGAGAGACATTTCCCTTTCATCAGTACTGTCAATTATCATTCCAACATTATGTAAGAAACAGGAGAAATCGGCTCTGATCTGGCTAAAGGTTAATAAATGCAGTGGTTCAGGGAACTGGAGCAGAAGAATACTAATGGCTCCTGCACCTGGAATGCAGCTTCCCTCCTCATTCTAATTATCTTCTCCCCCATCAGGGCATTTATGATGCATTTGTGCCCAATGTGCATTTATGAAATAACACAGGTCTTTGGCTTCAATAAGTCAAGTTCAAGTCAAACAGAAGAAACAGGGTGTTAAAAAAAGACAGATCCTGTTATCACTACTTATTTGGCATAAAACAATATTGACAGTTCTTCTGCTTCTCCATTCCCACTAAGAAAACAAACACACCACCAAAAGCATTTTTCTCTGAGTTAACTTAAAAATGTATTTGTTTATTTTCCTATGTTAATATTTTCAGATTTTTCTGTAAGTATTCTAACTTCTTCCCAGGCACCCACAGGCAACAAAAGATCTGCAGCAATGCTGCATTTCTTGTGAAACTGTATTCTTGGCAAAACACACGAGCAAACTAAACTCAATCAAAATGCTACAGCAAAGGATTTCCTGGCATTGAAGTGGCCAGGAATACACACCATACATTAGATGTCCAATGGGAAAGGCATGGGAGGGACTTGAGGAGTGATGAACCACTCATCTCTCACAGTGCCGTCAGCAAGTGCAACAAATTACATACAAGACATGCAGAGGATGAAACACGGCTCCTTTCCCCTGTCAGAGTGTCCTCCCTGCAGTGGCCTGGGGTCACCAGTGTCACGGAGCTGACAGTTGGCCCTTGCATCCCTTGCAGCTGGGAGATGAATGATCTCTCCCAGACTCTGCTCACCAAACGACACTTAGCCAACCACCTGCTCTTTGTCGAGTTAATACCTCATCAAAGAGGGGCAAAGTAAACTCATCAGAGAAGTCTAGACAACATTTCTGTCATGAAGTGCGCCACATTATTTCTTCGTTCTCATTTTGGGTCTTTAGCTCCCTAAATGTCATTTTTCCGGAGCAAACCCAGCTCTTCTGGCTGACCCCTTGGTTTTGGAGACACAGCTGAATATTTAGTGATTTGTGGAATGTGCTCAGGTGGAGTGACACTACTGCTGTAACCAAGAGTGGTTAAGGTTATAAATGGCAGATAAAATTGGGTATCAGAGTCAGTGGAAAGAGTCTGGGCTTTGTGAACTGCTTGTCTCCCAGCACTGTCAAGATTTGTGAGATGGTGCCTTTCAAATTAGGCAACCCTGGGAGGCCAGAGCCCTCCCTCTCTGCTTGTTGGGGCTGTCCCACACCAGCCAGTGACCTGACCAAGGTGGGACTGTGGCTGAGGCATCACCCTACAGCCATCCAACCTCCACTAATATGCCTGTGCTAGGGGTAGGACTCTCATTTTCTTGATTTGCTTTCTTTTTCCAGGACAGGGAATCCATTCATGCAGCAATGGGAAGGAGATTTTTTTCTTGCAGACAAGACACGGAGAGCATTGACTGCTGCCAGAAGGAAATGACACAGAGAAAACCTGCAGCAGCAGCTGGGGCAGCTGCCAGCACCCCCTGCCTGCTCTCGGAGCAAAGTCCCTCTCCTCAGGACTGAGGAGCTGCCTCCTCCTGCAAGGATGCTTCTGCCAGCACAGGAAGCTGATTCCAGAGACAGAGGTACGTAAAAAAGCAGAATTTAGTGAATCCCAGGCATATTTTTAATGTCTAAGGCCAGGGCAGGATGTCTGAAAGTGGAGCAGTAAATAGGATCCCGGAGGAGGGAAATGCTGACCTTCAGCCAGAAATGTACATGAATCTACTGAGCAAATAAATATTTACCTCTCCAGAAATTGTTTATTTATAAGTGCAATGTGGAAGCAAATAGCTGTGGGTAGGGGCTACTCAGGAGGAGCTTCTGACTTGTGGGCACATAATAGGTATTCTTGCCTGCAAATGTTTGTGTTAAACCTCCGGAAAGGTTTATGTGGTTAACATGTGAGATATAAAGCTTTAACTCTACATACCCGGTGTTCCTCAGACATTTGGCCAAAGGGTTGCAAGCCTGTGGCCAGTTTATGTAAAACCAAGCTTTACCACTCACCTGGATCACAGCCCAAACCATCTGTAGCATGCAGATGTGTTTCAAACATGCACTAAAAATATTTTCCTTTATTTCTCTACTGAAAAAAACAAACACCTCCTGCCTGTATTTACCTGTGTCAGCTCATGACCAGCCTCATCCAGCAGCTCCTTTCTGTTTTCTCTGTACCTGAGGTTCTCAGTTGTTATTCCTCTGTACCTTCTACGAGGCATGTGGTGATATACAATCACACAACAAAGTTTGCTCCTTGCTGTGAAATTAGTCACTGCTGCCCTTGGCACAGATTCTTCCCTGCATCATAATGTTTAATACAAAGGAAAGATTAATTAAATTCTGCGGAACTGTGGCTCAGGTATCTCACTAGGGACCTGTTTGCTTCTTTTTATTTAAGCTTTCATTAGTTCACATTAAGTTACAATACAGGTTGTAGCCAGTTTCCCCTTCTTGCAGTCAGCATATCAACTTAGATGCTTTGAGGATTGCAAACACAAGGTAATTAGCTCAAGAAATACTCGCTCCCTCCAGGAGTGACTACCTCCTGCCAAAGGAAACCAGAAGCCCTGTGAGCTCTGAGGAGGAGGGCCAGGCTGTGAAATTCTACTTGTAGGCACATATTCTACAGAGTCAGTACAACATGCATCCCTCTGAGTGAGAAATCCCACCTCTCTCATTGTGGGAAGTGGTGAAAATTACACATACCACGACTTGTATGTTTTAGAAGCCACAAACTCTGCAGACACTTTTGCATGCAGCTGGATGCAGTCACCAGCATTTGGGCTCTGTGTAATACCATAGTGTCTTTCAGGCCGAGAAAAAACGAGGACCCACTTTTTTGTGGCTGTGCCTCCCCTGTGGCCACCTGATGGTGACACCCATCACCCTGGCCAAGGGCTTCCCTTTGGCCCACTGCTTGGTCTGCTCTGGCACACACACACACACACACACACACATCCTGCTGAGCAGGGACCTCAGCAGTTCTAACTGACTGGGATGAGAAATAGCTGAGAAAATGTTAATGTAAAGAAATACTTCCTTTTTTAGCCCAAGTGCAGCCCATCTGGTTCATGCCAGAGTGCTTCTGAACATGGGCAGGTCAAACAGAAAATCTCTTCGGTCAAAGCACGGCCGAAATACAACTGTTCAGTCATGAGTGTGACAGACCCGCTGTGCTGCTCCTACAGACTTGATTGAATGTCTCAGAGTCCTTGGGGCTTTCACCACAACTTGAGGGCTCGATGGCAGATGCATTTTCCATCCATCGGCCCAGATGACAGGCCAGAGCCCAGGCATGGCCTTTTGCACAGGCAGCTCTGCACGTGGCAAGAGCAGGGAAAAACCCAGTTAAAAGAAATAAATAGTTTTAATTTAGCTTTCGCTTTCTTCATGAAGCCCTTCACCTTCATACCCAGTTCACTGATGGTCTGCACAAGTGTTTGTGTCAGAAGGGTGGGAGCTGAACTTCCTGGGTCAGAGAGGAGCCTCTTATGGTGCTGCTGCTCTTCAGCACCCAAACCCCAGGCTCTAACCTCACACTGCCCGTTTCCACTTGTTTCTTCACTTTCCCTGAATACTGTCCTCCCAGTTTTACCCATGTGTTCTGTTTTGGACACGAGAACCTACTACAGGAGTGTATGACTCCTTCTCTTTTAGGACATTTCATCCACCTCTTTCACTCAAGCCAGCCTCCCCAAGCTACCCCATGAGATTTTGCCACAGCCAACTGGACAACTCCAAAGATGCATCTTGAGTCCCAGCACTTTCTGAAAAGTTGCAGCTGAGCAGGCCTGGCCAGAGGGCACATGTTGGAAAGAAGGATCATAACGAGTGCTTTGGTTTAGCAGGAATTGCTACCAATTTGCATTTTGGTGGATGGGTTTATGTTATCTAACACAACTGAGCAGATGGTTTTCAGTATGAGAAATCCATCACATCTACCTGGTGATACGTAGGGAGCACAGACAAATGAGAGCAAGAAACATTATTCAGAAAAGCAAAAACAGAGTCTGTCATACCAGAGAACAACAAAGGAATGTGTTTCCAGGATGGGATGTTAATGCAGAGTTGCTATGAAAAATGATTAAAAGATGCTAGAACACACAGGTTGAGCAAAACTGATGTTATCAGGTTCAATTTCATTTTAGTCACTCAAGGTACTGAATCAGAGTTATTATAACAGCCAGTCAATAGTCTGAATAGTTTTTCCTGCCTGAATGTTTATTATCAGCTCTCTTGGACTGAGGCAAGAATAGTGAGCAGCTCATGTTAAAGTACAAGGTTATGAGCACATTTTTCATAGGTTTTAAAAACTGCATTTGCCAAGCTTCAAGTTGCCACATTGCAAGGGAGGGAAATTAGAGGGTGGAAATCCATTTGCAGCTGCACTTTACTCCAAAAGAAATCATGTGGGAAAATACACGGATTTTAAAATGTCTACTACATGGTGCACTCAACAGATAAGACATCCACACTGGGAAAAACTGATTTTCAAAGTTTTTCAGCCTGACACAGAAGTCAATGGAGGCAATCGGTGCTGCCTGTGCAATACACACACTTAGCTTTTTATTACACTGCACACACCAACTGAACACAAAATCTGACAAGGCCTTTCATACCCACCACTTACTACCTACCCTGGCACTGTCTGAACTGAAAGTTTTTGTTCCCTGTGCAACCTGCCCTATTTTTTTTTTTTTTTAAACAGGATCTGAATTTAGTGTTAGAAGAAAGAATGTAGTTCATTGTTCACAGCTCAACTGAGGTATTTCTGCACCGGCTCCTGCGTAGACAGTTTCTCTCACAGGTATGAAAGGACATAACATCAAGGATGGCTGAACAGAAGCAGATTCTTCTGACGTTTGACTGCAACTAGGACAACCTGATGCCACCAAGGCAACCACAGGTGAGAGCTGTGACCCCCCTACATGAGGCTGAAACAGTGTCATGTGCCCTGTGGACAAACCCCAAGGGGGTCCCGCCACCCCCACCCACTGACTTTCACGAGGTCTTCATTTCACTAGTTGTTGTTGAAGATTTAACATAAAGGAAAAAATGTGTTTGAAAATGGGTGCAAACATAAAGGGCCATGACATACCTGAAGATAGTGCTGTCAGAGTCCACTGCATACATACAGCTCCTAAAAACTTGTGATGCTGCCTCTGTCTGTCAGGGTACATCACAGTGCATAGTTCCAGGATGAGGAGGTAAGGCATTACAGGAGAAAAGATACTGTGACCAATTTAAAACAAACAAACAAGAAACAGAAAGAAAAATTAGAATAATTTAAATAAGAATAATTTATTCTAAAACTTGTTTCTTAAAAAAAAAAACAACCCACACTCAATTTTGTTGAGAGCTAATCATCTTGCTGACTGAGAAATTTGATGCATGTCTTTTTATTCCCCTCTATACCTCTGAGGATATCAGGGTGCCGTGTGTTGAACAACTTATTCAGGCTTCATTGTACTTTACCTGAAATTATCTTTCAAAGGACTGGAAAGGTTGAAGAGAGTTTCCAAAATTAGTTAGGCTGCATTAAGCCAGCTTCATTAGTGTAATAAAACTTCAAAGTAGAGAATTTATTCCATCTGTAGCAATTAAAATGTAAATAAATACAAGAATTAAAGTACATCATCCAAATATTTGAGGGCATTATATTACTTCTGGGAGGTGTAACACTTACACCAGCACATCAGGGAATGGAAAGCTGGCTCCTCACACTCAGGAGATGCAACTGAATCAGATGGCAATGCTCTTGAATTCAGTGGTGCAGAGCAGGACTGCACTGCACCTCCCAGCATTCAGACCCCAAATGAAAACTGCTGTTCTGCATGTTCTGCAGCATTGCTTATTCAAAATGTAACACTTCTATTCAGCACTTGGAAGCATTTATCAGTGTAAGGAGGAATTTCCTTTGCGAGCTGTATGGGCTGAAGACTATTTTCCTTATTTAATGGAGAAATGTGAGTAGGGCACTGCCAGCCCAGATGCTACTCTGGCAGCAGCCACCATGTGACTGTTCCATCCCATCCCCAACACTGGCACACTCTGACTGTGCCTCTTTCTGCACTGGGTTATCCAGTGACACTGTTCCTCCTGCTCCTCCCTCTCACCTGAGAGTTTAATGGAGAGCTCCATGAAAAGCAGTGGTTTTTGGCATAGGCCGTGCAGGGAAGGCAATTAAAAGACATCATAATATTAAAATAAGTTTGTCGCCATCTTACACGCACAAAGAGATCTTTAGTTTGATTGGTGGACCATTAAAATGCAGGCCCTTAATGAAGATGTAACTCTAGCACAAAGATGGGTTTGGGATTATGAATCAACTCTTCTGACTAAATCTCCAAAACCATTATTACAGGACTTTTCTTTTTATAACCTATCTCATTAAAAAAATATTTAGATCCCACTTGTTATAGTTAACTCAAATTCTCTCATTAAGTCCTCTTTCATGGTCATTTTTCTTATGCTGAAGTTCTTGAGGGGCAACAAAGCTGATTCCTCCAGAGGGCTTTTCCTTTGTACCCCTTGTAAGGAGGACAGAACTGTGCAGGACAGCTGCTCTGCCCTTTACACAACCAACCAGCCAGCAAAAGCAGTGAAAAATGGAGCCAAAAAAGGAAACACTTTCATATTCATGGGTTCCCGGGTTCCTGAGGGCATTTCAATGAATTCATAGGGGTCATATGAACAGCAAATGTCACAAGTGTGTTACATTGAAAATATCATGTGGAGAAGTCTTTTAAAAAATGATCTAACATAACTTAGATAAGGTTAAAAAAAATGAAGTTTCTGTGTAAGCTGAGGACAAACCATCCAACAAAGGTCACAAAGACTAGCATTTCCCATGTGTTGCTGTTAGTTTCAGGTCCTCAGCTTTAAAAGTTGTACTTTGTGTGCTCACACTGCAAACAAATCTCCTCAGTATGAACAGCAACACGGTGTCAGTCCTGTTCAGGATTTGCAGTTTGCCTTGCAGATAACTGTGGAATGAGACCATTTGTAAGGCTTACCTTCATTGTTATATTTTCATCCTAAATGTTGTTGGCTCTAGAGATCTTCTTTGCTTCGTTACTCCTCCCTGTACTTTAGGCTTCTGCTGACAAATGGTCAGATATGGCGAAGTTGTGCCAATAGCCTTAAAGGTAGGAGAAAAATTAGTAATTTAGTATTTTTAACTATTTTATTGCTGCAAAGCCAGTTGTTCTCTGCCAGGACTTTAGTGTCTGCTCCATATGAGAAAATGGCATGAGTGTAACTCCAGCAAAGGCCTTACTTACAGACTGAAGAGGAGCTGGACGGAAACCAAAGAGGTGAAGTGACTCGCAAGACCCCATGACAGGGTAATGGCAGGGCCAGCATTAGAAACCAGTCTTTGAGATTCCCAGTCCAGCAATCTGTTTTAATCCTGACCAGGAATGAAGCAGGACTTTCACAAAATCCTATTACAAGAAGAAGGCACAAGACTTTATATCTTCACCAGGCCACACTGACCACACAGACACCGGCGGCTCTCCCTGGCACAGGGCACTATCAGGGCCTTACCAACCACTGTCATCTGTCCCCCTAAAAATGATTCATATTATTGCTGCTAAAACCACTAAACAAGGGTCTCTACTGGGAGCGTTGCAGTCACATTAGAGAGGACTGGAGAAGCTGTTTCTTTAAAATATGCACACGTATGCACGTGCAAACACATGGCCACCAAAATAACAGCAGCCCTGACTTGGTCTCAGTAACAGTCACATTCCCAGTCTGCTCAAGCCCTTCCAGTGCCTGGTAAGGACTAAGAATCCAGGACTTGGGTTACACCAGTGTGATGAAGCCAGTGGGAACACTTGGCAATTAGGAGGATTTAATTGGTCTTTGTGCAGATCAGCGCAGCCGTTCGTGCACGGGCTGCTGAGCCACAGTTACTCTGCTTGCACACGGGGGTAATAGACTGCAGCTCACTCTGAGTTAATTTGTGTTTAATTCATCATGGGCTGCCTGTGTGTAAATAGCTACATCTCAGCTTTCTATCTAAAATCATGGGGTTTTGTTGTTACAGCACTGAGGCAAATATGGTACAGCTTCACAATCATAGAATTATAGAATCTTTAAGGTTGCAAAAGAGCTCTAAGATCATCGACTCCAACTGTCAAACCAATCTGAAGCTGCAGCCCACAGACAGCAAGAGGGTACAAGCTTCATGCTGCAGACAACCTCACATCCTACTTTCCCTCCCAGCCTCAGGAAGAAGAAATATTTGCACAGAAGTATGCAGAGCCAGCTGGGGAATACACTGATGTGAGCAATGAGCTGGCAACTCTGTTTCATATACATTTAAATCTACCCGCCCACTGTGCTAAGAAATATGTACAATACCACAATAAAATAAGACTTACTTTCACCATTGCCTCAATTTCTCCCTAAAAGACCAGTTCTGTTACCTGCATCCAGCTCCCCAAACAAATAAATTTGTGATTTATTTAGACTGCAGTGTGAAAGAATTGAAGATGTGTGCCATTTTCTCAAGGCATCAATATTTAATACCTTTCTTGATAACCTAAACTGTGGGTTTCTCATTCTTTGACTTCAAAGCATTTGGTGGCCTAACCCAGTACATCACATTACATAATCAAACTTTTTTTAATGCTAAACATTATCTCAGAAAGTCTTCAGCACGTGGGATGCAATACCACAACATTCAGGCCACAGAATACGTAAATCTGTCCAGCATCCCTTAAAACACAAAATTCCTGGCCCTAGTCCTGCTGTGTAGATGACCTGACATTTCTTTGCTACTCCAAACTCATCTGATTTGAAGGAGACATAAAATGGCCTATCAGATTCAAATACTTAGGGGGAAAAAAAAAATTAATGTTTTGAAATGCCAGAAAAAATAAATACATGCAAGGAGAAAAAATTTAAGCTATCCAAATGTTTTGAGTGCAAAACCAACATCTGAAAAAGAAGGTTATAGATGCCATTATGCTCTGAATACTGAAATCATCTTCTCATTGCAGAATGGCAGTGGAGAAATAAACAAAATGTTAGTTTTTACAGAGACAGGAATAGAAAAGAACATGGAGATTACAATGCCTCTAACTAACACACGGAAATGTGCTGACCATGCAGGTCAGGTTCAAGGTGCAGCTCACACTTCCATGATGTTCTAACAGGGACAGAAATAGAGAAAACTGCTAGGAGTAGATAGAGGGAATGGGAAATAAGAAGGAATGTGATAATATCAGAGCTGTTTAGTTCAGAGAAGTATAAATATAGTTAAGGTCACATTGGCTGCTCACATTTGCTGAGATAATAGTGCATCCATGCAAAGGAACAACAGTGGATTTAAAGGTGAGAAAAAGAGGACCTGGTTATCATTCCAGAATTTCTATTTAGGGTAAAAATCTAAATAGATTAGCAATTTGAGATTTGATATTTAATTAAAAATAAATTATTTTCTTGTTTGGTTAAGAGCTACTGCTAGATGTTCTTGCTGGTGAGAGGCATATTCAAAGAGATTTGCACCATCTTCTTGCAGGATACTCAGAATTGTGTAGTCCTATTGGAAAGCTTCTCCCATAGCAAAATCCCTCAGCATCATCCCCACCCCTATTTTTAAACATAAGCTCTTCACATACATTTATGTAAAAATAAAATGGGTAACAGGAATTAACATGCACTGCAGCTTTCAGAGCCCATATTAGGAAACACTCACAGTGGCCAAATCAATGCAACAGCAGTTTTGTTCTTAGAGGAAAATCAGAGTTATTCTGGTCATCCTCATTCTTACTACTTTTATCCTCTTCAACATATACTAATAGTTCCTCTTTTAAAAGTGCAGGAAAGAAATTCAGAGGCATTTCAGCTACAAGGAGAATTACACAATTTGCCACATTTCTCTTGCTGGGAAAGAGGAGGGTAAAATCAGCATCATGATATTGTGATACCAGTGCAGCAGCTTTTTCTTTGTTTGGCAAACTTCTCGACTGATAAAACTGTACCATCTCAGAAACTGGGAGTAAAACCTGGCCAAGGTCTCTGTGCTCAAGGGAGAACAAGGGAAATGCCAGTTATGGCTCCTACTTAATCTGCTTTTCCTCATGCAGAATGGAAGGAGGCAGCTGCTCATAACCAAGCTTCTGAAGTGCCAAACAGCTTCAGTCCCCAAAGTAATTAGTGGAACTACACAATTCTTTAACAAGGGGGTCTGAGACTTTCAAACCTGGTTAATACTGTATTTTTTCCCTCTGGAGTTCCGTGTTCAGATTTTCTGCTTTTTGTATCTTTCATAGTTCTTTACAGTGTAAATGTTATACTGTCTTTGAATATGAAAGGGTTCAATGATCTCACTGGATGGGTCATGTCTAACTAGCAGGCTAAGGTCCACTCTAAGAAGACCTTGTGCTTTTGCAGTGCAAAGCATTTTTCAAGGATTATTGCTGTTAAACTACACCTGGAGGTGCATGGAGATCCCTGGAAATTGTCTTTGACCTTACAGTAACCTTGTGTAGACAGTGTTAATCATTATTATCTTCTATATTACCATCCCCTGTTGCCAACTGCAAAGCTAGCAAACTCCAGATTATTGCCACAGTAAAGGAACGATCATTGCTTACATTATAAACACACAGTAATTTGACAAGCAAGATTTGAGCATATTGATCTGAACAGAAGGCAGTCAACATCTGTAATAATCATTCTGCATTGGCTAACTAGTAGCAAATAAATAAATAGTCAATAAACTACCCCCCCCCCCGAAAGCTTTTTTTGGGAACTTCTGGAGAGAAAATACGGAAATCAATGCAGAGACCCTTCAGTGTGTGAAACTTCCCTTCTTCAGTGGAAAGGACAAGCTGTGCTGTACATGGGGAGATGCCTGTTGAAGCAGCCTGCCAAGTGGGAGAAGCATAGCAGTGACAGAGGACCACACTAGAGATCAATAATGCAATTTGTGGAAGCCACAGTTTGGGTTTTGTACTGCAACAAACCTGCAAGGGGAAGCTAATGCTGTTTGTAAACCACTGGAAGAAGCAGAGAAACAAGCAGCTACTATGATCAGTGGGAAAACTCACCACAAGTAGGGTGGATGGTGTTTCTGTACATAGAGATGAGCAGACTTCAGCAGTTGGCCTTAAAACAGGTGTTTCTGCGTCCAAATTACAGGAAGAAAGTTGTGTTCACACCTGGTGAACTGCTCAGCTCACGAGGAACGCTGCTGGCACTGCCATGCACAATATGTCAGACTTTAAAAGCTTCCATTTCCCAGTCACCACTTAAATTCTATTTTTTTTCTTTTTTTTAGCAAGCAAAGTCTTAGAGGACTGGTAGTTGCCATAGACACATCAGCAAAGACTCAAAAGAACGATCTGGGAGAATGTGACTATCTTTGAACCAGATCCCAAAGGGAATCAAAGCTGAGGCTGAGATGACTCACAGACACACAGAGAGAAATCAGCTAAGCTGGCAGGTAGAGCTGGAGGAGCAGCCCTGATGCAAACAGCCTGGATATAAACACCATTATCACTTAAAAACAAAGATTCAAGTTCACATAAAGATTCAATACCTTGAGCACACCTCATTTGGTTTCCTGAAATGGGGCTGTTTAGATACAAATAGAGCAGGGTCCCCTTAAAAGAGCTTTCTAGCATAGGACAATAAGCCCAGCAGGTTTTTTCTCATTAAAAACCTCATTAAGGACAGAAGTCTGATTTTATCCCTCTCATATTATCTATGCAGTCATGTTTATCTTGGGAACAAATAGATGGGACTGTTCTGCTGTGAGACTTCTGTGAGCAACCTTTCACCCCATCATTATTTTTGTATTCAGCACAAAGCCCCTTTTTCAAAATGATGCTTTGGATTTATATAATGACTTCCATCCCACTGCCTCAAAGAACATTATTCTAATTGCCAAGGGCTTGTTCGTGCCCATTTTGAGGAATCAAAGATTTTCATTAGCTGATGAGACATCATGGAAAATGGGGTCCCAAAGAATCACTCCAGAGCACAGTGTGAACACCGCTTCTTTAACTCCCGTGGCCAGGCAAATGGTCAAACCTCAGAAAGGACTTTAATTGCTCCACTAAAACCTCTATTTTGATGTAAGTCTTGATTAACCAGAACAGTAAAAAAGACTGGGGATAGCAAAAGTCACAGAAGACGTGAGACATCACTGCCATTTTGTCACCCCCTGCTTTGCTCTCCCCCTCTGGTTCTCCTCACCTGACCGACCTCCAAGAGCCACGCCAGGAGCGCTCCACTCCTCCAGCTCTCCAGCTCTTCTCGGGGGCGGTATCATTCTTGGCAGGACACCTCCTCCTCAGGCTGGATGCTGTCTCCATAACTGCCCAAAGAGCTCATGCATTTCTGCAGCCAAGATCATCTCCTCGTGCAGGCCCACAGTGCTTCGCGCCTCCGACGTGTCTCAGAACATGGGAGAATGGTGTCACGGGTGGAGGGACCATCCTTAACTGAGCTCCCACTGCTCCCTCTGCTGAGGAAGCAACTTTCAAAGCATCCTTCTCACACCAAATGAATTTTGCATAAATTAATTGTCTCCATCCCTTTCGGGAATTAAATTAAACTGGGATCACCAAGCACATCCTGTCAGCTTTAGCTTCAGGCATCTTCACCTTTAGATAATTTCTAACAGCAAAGGATGGCTCAAAACATGTGGCTGTTAACACCCTCCAAATCAAATCAACGACTAATGGAAAAACAAAGGGTGACACTTCATCTTGTCCCATTTAACAAGGAAGACAGACAAGAATGATACCATTGTTCCTTTTCATATCAATTGGCAGAAATTATCTTTATTAGAAAAATGAATTTTTCATATATTTACAATTTTTACATCATGTTATACTTGGCACATGTGTTCTCCTCAAATAGTTATATACATTTCGGTACACACAGACATTCAAGTCCCCCATTCCCTTAATGTTTTTCTACATATTTAACAAAAAAAAATGAACACAATACAATTTGTAAGACAATCATAATAATTATATATTTCTCTATCATAAAAAGTTTGAAGCAAACATGTTTTTGTTTTTTTTTTTTTTTTAAGATATGTTTCAAAATATTTATACAGTATTAGCACTCAGTCATGCACTGGGTTAAAATATGGTCAGGGTGAACTGCAGTGAGACAGTGTGTGTGTAACACAGGAGAGAAGTGTGTGGATCCCAGTTCCTTCACGCTGCACTGGGTGCTCTTGGGTAGCTCCAGCTACCACCAGGATCTCCAAGGCAGGGGCAGAAGGGTGCAGGGGTAGCCAGGTGTACCTGTGTCTGCACAACACCACAGTTAAAACTGTGTGTGCACAGACACCTGCGTGTTAAAATCCATTTCACTTTGCCAAACCTATCTAATAAAACAGGCAGTAACTGGAATGTCAAAACTGGATTTTAAATGCTCTCTTTTTCCCCAAACCCCTTCTTTTGAAGAATCCATTAGACTGTGAATTTTATAATGAAATTCTGGATTCTCTAAAAAATTAATTTTTTTTATGCCTGATTCCATTTCAACAATATTCTTTTATTTCTACTCTAACATCCTGATTTATTTCCCCAGGTGTTAAGAGCTCTTCAAACCTCTCCTATTCTTTGTTAGCAACTGGAAATTTGTGACTTACCCTTTGGTTTGAAATATGACACTTTTGAGGGTGTTACAGTAAATTGCACTAGTAAATAACAGAAGTGATAGGCTTTTTAATTTACTGTGTACAGTTTTAGGTTAGTGCTCCCTGTAACCAGTACAAATAATTATAATTGGAGTTCTCTTCCTCCACCAGAAAAAAAGCACTGTTCCAACTGTACTAATAACTAATTTTCTTTGTAGCAAAAGCCTAAGTTAATATTGTGAATTCTTATTTTCTTAGTTGCATTTCATTTTTCGTAGTTCAACTGCAAATAACTTTTAATCAAACTCAAAACAGCAACACATTACTTGAAACTGTTAATAAATGATTGTAGAATCTTTGTACAATGCTGGATTTTTGTCTTGCCCCTCAATCACCCCAAAAACTTTATACATATACATATATATATAAAGCTTATATATAGCTTATATATATACACATGTATATATACAAAGACTAATCAGGACAACACATTAAATTGACGTTATTCAAGTAAACAGGTAAAAATGTTTTTTAAAGTCTAATTTGAGATTTTAAAATATTTCTGGTGAGTTTTGTTTAGCAGCACAGAAATATTAGTGTTTCATCTAAGCCCACAAAAATCCTTAGACAGGATGAAAGGAAGCACAAAACACCCTTCAGGTTTTGTGTAAATTGAAATCTGATGAAGTAAACATTATTAACTCACAGGTGAAGTGCTTCTGAGAACCTGGAATGTATGGATGCAAATTTTGCATAAAAATGGAGTACTTAGTTAAGAATCAGGTAGGAGTTTGCCTAACACAGTAATGAATTCTGTTTGTACCTTCTGGTTTCAACAGGGAAGGCACGAGATACACTGTGCATGTGGGTGTGAGGTGTGAAGACAGAGGGATCAAGCTGTTCTTCATCAGTGCAAAAGGGAGGTTCTGAAATGAGTAAGACTACTTCAAAATATTATACCTTATATCAAGAATAAACTGCAAACAGTTCTTATTGAAACTGCATTAGTTTCCTTCCTAGCTGCACTCGATTTTATGTGAGGCAATTTCCATACCTTTGCAACACGAGGTTTGCAACTGAGCGTGAACTGCAACAAAGATCTGCTCTCTCATCATTCATTCACACATCCCTATTTAAGTCAAAAGGTGTTTTGCCTAAGTTTGGAATCCAGACCTAGGCCAGGTAAAAATGAGCTAAGTAAAAATTTTCCTCTTGCAGATGAAGAGCTTGAAACCAAGTTCTTCTCCAAGATAAACTTGCAATAAACTTGTAGACAAAATCTGACCCTATAGAATTTACTGTTTCTTGGTTAAGGTGGAAAGAATCGAAACTATCCAACTGTCCCTTTCAAAAAATTACTTCCAACAAATGATTCCAAGCTATTTTTTTTTTTTTTTGGTCATAAGTTTTAGTTAGAGAACTACAAATTTAGAAAAGCAGCCAAACAACAAACAACACAATCATCCCTCAGTGAAAATCTCCACCTCACCAGCAATAGCAAGCTCAAAAGCCTGTGCACTCAGAGAAGTGGTTCTGCCTTAAACACCACTGCTAAACCTGTCTCTGCGTGCAAAACCGATTTTGGAAACTGCCCAGTCTGCATGGGAGGATACAGGGGCGGCCACTGGTGCTCACACCAGCTGGGCTTTCCTGGGAATCTGGTTCCTGAGGTATCCTTCCTCAGCTACCTTAAGGAACATGGTTAAGGATCAGATGTGGATCACATAAGCTGACACTGAGTTTTAAAGTCAGTCACCAGGCCAATAGATCCTCTCTGGCCAAGATTTTTCCAAACAGTATGAGAAGACATCCTTTTCCTACGGCCTTGTTATTTATAGCAAGCATCAATTCCAGCTCCTTCAGACAGGAACTCTCCTCTGACATGTTCCCACGTGTCCTAGCACAAAGCAATCCTGATCCCAGCGAGTCCTTTAGCCCCTTCTGTAATAGGTATCAAACACTACAGTAAATGCTGCTAGAGGGTTTGTAGGTTTGGGAGGTTTGGGAAGGAGAGAAGACAAGCACTTAAAATAAAGCAGTGCTGAAATGTGTCCCACGGCTCTGGGAGATTACTCACACATGACTGGGTTGGGAAGTGTACGCACGCACGCCTGGGTATACTGTATATATATTTAGGTTAACAAGTTTAAACTATTAATAAACAGCTTCTTATGGTATTTGGTAATTAAAATATCAGGCTTGTGTCATTCAAAATAGTGCAACCTACATAGCAATATACAGGAAAATTACACACATTGTTCCTATCACCATTAATATGCTTGTGCATATCAAGATGACAGGATACCCTTTTCCATAAGATTAACCTTTTGCATATTTAATTGTATTCTTTGGCCCATTTTCCTGTGAAACCTCGTATGAAAGCAAAGACTTTGGCTTTAAAAGAAAAAGAAAACTCCTGTTTTTTCAGTTACTTTCAGAAACTTAAATAGAATTCAAATTAGTTAAAAATTATCATCTCCTCCAGAAACTGCACACCCTACATCCTGTTACAGCCCCCCCCCCCCATAGTGTGGCTAACTGTGAACCTCCAATTTCTTTTTATTTTCAGTTTTGAAGATCATTTACACTTCACATGTTGCACAACACATCCTCCAAAATTGTCCTCGACTCCTCTAATCTTGTCCCAACTGGGAACAAGGAAGGTCTCCTTCCCCAGTGGCATGGAAAGGCAGAGCAACCTCATGAGGGCCTTCGACTGCATCACTATTAGTCCAAGTTCAGGGTTTGCAATGTGAAACAGAAGCCAAAATACATTTCCAAAAGGTTTTTGTCATTAAACACCATTATTAAACAGGCTCAAGAAAAAAAAAATTATCAGACAAAAGAATCCTGTAGCAATGATGTAACACAAATCTCTTCAGAATGGTCATTCTTATGTACTGCAATGCACAAAACAAATTTAAAAATGTATTCTCATGATGCATTTGCTGAGAAAAACATATCATTTCTTCTAATAGTACTAGAAGTGCAAAACAAGACATTCTCCATTAAAATTTCATGTCACTGTAAATATTATCATTTTCCCACATTAAAGCTAAGTACCATTTCTGAGAAGTGAGGAAACCTTCTTCAATTCCCAAGCAAAGTATCATCTCACTTGGAACTTTACAGTGCACTGAATAAGTATCACAATATTTACTGGTATTTATTTTCACAGTTTTATAACGTGCACAGAAATATAATTTTTGAAATATATTAGTGAAAACAAATACTAATACAAAAGGGAAAGGACAAAACATCTAGGAGTATAACTGCTTATCACCACTACTTTTTAAGAGTTGGAGAGTCGAAACCATCTCTCTTTTAAATATGTAATACTATATTTAGTGTGGTTATCTATTAATAAAGGTATTGCATGACAATGTTACAGCATGGTTATATTCTCTACTAATTTAGCCTTGTTTTCAATACAGGTAAAGAATTAAGCAAAAGGAGTAAAAATTGTCATTTAAGCGCAAAACAACAAAAACCTGGTAAATAGTGAGGTAACTTATTTTTACTTATATTATTTGTGGTTCTTAAATTATAGATATGACAAAATCATCACAAAATCAGCAGTGGATTCTTACAGCTGTTAGAATGGCAGTTATTTAAAAAAAACAGCTTGAACTACAGCAGATATTCTGCAGTATGTAACAAAAAAGCTCATGAACCCACGAGAAGAACTAAGTGCATTTTCACTGCATTGCAGGGCGATGCACACCTGTATTCCTGACTTCCAAAGCTGCAGGACTTTGGAAGAGCACATATTTTTAGAGAGCATACTCCGCACACAGGTCGAGAGAAGCAGGGGGGAAAAAAAAAAAAACAACTAAAAGCTTGAGTGAGGGAAATAAATGAGAAGCTTATTTACAGAGAGTGCAGTAACCCTCCCCAGCAGGGCGGGGAGTGCTGCTCCCACCGAGCAGGGTGACAGACACCAGGGAGCACAACCAACCCCCTCCCCACCCCACAGACACCGCTGTGACACTGGAATGAGGGTGGACATGGCGTTATTTCCACAGTGGAAGCTGAGCACCGACAGGAATTTTACACTATGTACAGTATGTGCACATCAGACAGAGACTGGTCAGAGCGATACAAGAGACACGACGGTCCTGAGGCTGCTCCCATTTAACCACAGCTTCACAGGTGACTCCAGCCTTTCCTCTCTCACTCCATATACCTGTCTATGCTGATATCTACATCCACAAACACACAGCTGTGATTAAACTGAGCTCCCTCAGTGACAGCAAACGCTAACGTGTTGCTAATACATTGAAATAAGACAGTACAGGTGAGTTTGGGCAGGGAAATGGCTCATATAGTTAATCATACTTTAAAAGGCCTTTATGTTCTTTCAGAAGTTCCTTCAGCACTGCTATGTTTGGAAGGCTCAGCTCTCTACAGGAAGTTAGTTTAGATTAAAAAAAAACCCAAACAACAACACTGATAAAGCAAAGAACTTAAGTGTATCACTGGAAAACTGTTTTTATGCTGCAAATCAGATTGCCCTACGTAGGAAAGGTATCTGCTTTGAAAGTACTTTTGAGTTAAGACAGGACTAGAACTGGGAAAAGTTAGTAAGGCAATATATGACAGTCCATCTTGAAAGAAGCACATGATGTGATGATTAAGACTTGACACAATTTAGCCAAGCCACAGATAGTTGCTCTTTATATTAATGAGGAGAGGATTTTCCCATAAAAGTTTTGTTTTCACTGGGTTTTATGTATCAAACATCTTAAATGCAATGTAAAACAACAAAAAGATCCAGCTCTTGAATTCTTTCTAAATCCAAGCTGAGATTTGTGACACAATTGCTGTTCTACGTTGATGAACCCAGGAAGGGAGGGAACAGTACCAAACCCTTCCCCATCACTGAAGTACATATGCTACACTGCAGAAGTATGAAAACAGCAAGTTATTCCACAAGGAATAGATTCTGACAGTTTTATCTCAGGCTGGATAGTCATGTGGTATAAAGCAAACAATGATCTTGACCAGGGAATACTGCAAACCCCACAAACAACTGCTTGCTTGAGCACAGAAACCTATACACACCTCCAAGGCTGAACCTGGGACTCACTTGCAGATTTAACTGGTACATTTTTGAGGCTGGAGATAAATAGACTATTGCTTTTCTAAGCCCGCCTAACTGAGATGTCTAAGTTAGGAACCTGTACTTTCTAAAAAGGTCACAGTCCTCAGAACTTTCACCCAGAGGGAGTTTGCTTTCTTTCTTTCTCTCTCTCTCTCTCTCCCTCCCCACTGGCCACAGAAAGAGCTCAGCCTTCCAGCACAGAAACTCAAAGCTACACACACAGCTCTAGCTTTTGCTTCGTTTAAAACTATGTAAAAAAGAGATTTATTTTCACCAGGAAAAATAAACCACACCTGATTTCCCTTGTGAGCCTTATATCACCTCTTAAGTGTTCCTGAAAGATCATAAAGAGACATGTATTTATGAAATGCTGCCAAAACACAGTGAGCTGGCGGTGATTTCGTTTCTGTTTGTCCACAGCACTCTTTCTCCTAACCAAGCTTCTTAGATAGCAGAATAATGAAGTCTAAGCAAAAGCTGCAAAAACATTAAATTAAATTTCCCGAAAATGCAAAATCTCTTAATTTTCCTTAATTTTATCTTATATATTAAAATATCTTATTACCATGCGTTTAAATTAGTGGGTGGCTACACTGCTCTAAGAAACACAAGCAGAACACAAAATCCATTTCAAAGAAAAAAGGAAGATTTACTGTGGTGAAAAGGGAAAGACAAAAACATGAAGAAATTCTACAATATCTTTAAAAGAGAAAAAGAGCAAGAGGCAGGTATGTCTATGTAGCTGTTTTTACCTCCATGTACCTACTGCATTCCTCAGCAATTCAATATCCTGCCTCCATAAAAGGTGTCGTCCAGGAGCAGTGTAACACTACAGGACATGCT